TCCAGAAGATCTTCTTGGATCAAGCAGGTAGATTCGTCGCATTTCCACATTCCATCCATACAGGAGCTAGAGATCTTTTTTGAACGAGAATAAATAACAAATCAGAAATCAACTTCAACTTGGCTTGCAAAAGAAAATACTACTTTAAAAAGGGGGAAGACAAGTAAAAAAATGCAGCTATGTTCACCTTACCCTTCGTAAGATCGTTGAGAATCTATCTTAATAAATGTTTGCTAATCTTTTTCTCGTTTTAAACATAACATAGCAAAAAATTTCTATTTTTGCTATTTCAGACTGTGAATCTGTTTAATTTCGCGAAATAGTTCTTCCATAAAAAGTTTGCAATTAGGCAGAGACAGTGTCTTCATTAACTAATTGCTTTTGAATTACTGTAGCCAAGGTTTCAACTATAGTATTTTGAACTACTTCAAGTTCTGGAAATACAAAAGAGGAAAAAGCAAGAAAACTCCATATTTTCCTTTTGTCTATCTCGTGCCTAGTAGCGGTAACTCTTCATCAATGCCCTATTAAACGGCAATTATCAGGGACAATGATACCCTGATGTGCAATTTCCGATGTAATTACCTATCATCAAGAAGGTAAAGGCCCTCAATTGCGGATATGGAAATGAACAGGTTTGCTTCACAGAAAATAGCAAATTCGGTTACTGACATGTATCGAAACACGACTGAGTACCTTTCCTTATAACGTCAAACTTACCAAAAGTCCAATAAAGACAAATATGGAAAAATAGTTTGCCTACGCAGCTTTCTTATCATTTAATTCTCCCAAACTATTTTCGCGACAGGAAAGGCTTGTAGAATTCGCCAAGATAACAACTCAGCAACTTCTTCAATCGAGTTTTTCATAAAATTTAATTAGTGATACGATTACCTACCATGTCTGGCAATTCTGCTCAATCGAATCACCTTCTCGATAATGAACACCATCAGAAACACATTCTGAAACTTTCAATATCATATATATGCTCAAAACTCAGTAAAGACTACAAATACCTCGTCCATTCAAGTCCGGTCGGTGTTGGTGATGGATCCCTCGACATGTCGCCTCAAAATCAGGACAACAATCATTTCCTAAATTTTTTTCCAAATGCTCTGGTCAGACTAGGACGATTTACAAAATATCAGCTATAGATCACCCCCATCAGGTCCTCGATCGCAGAACATGTCACAATAGCAGAGGTGATCGCCGAGGATCGGCGCTGTGCAGTCATCGTCGCGATTTGGGCAGCAAGTTGGCGATCGAACCGAGCAGTACTGGCCTAATTGTAAGCTTATTCAGTCCCTTCTTCAAACTTAAAAAAAAGGGGAG